CTGCAGCTCCCTTGGGCCAGCTTTCCTTTTCTCTACAAAATCATAAGCAGTGTCACCTTGGAGCAAAGGAGTGAGCTCCTGGTTTGGAGTCTGTGGCAGGAGCAAAAGCTACTGTGGGCAAGGCAGGGGACCCTGAGCAGGTGCAACGGACAGAAGTGGCTAGAAACACCAATGAACTGTGTGGGCCTTCTTCCCTGGCCCGGCCATAGTCCACAGCTCAGGGACAGAAATAAAAAAATATGTGACTGGACTGATCCCATCCCACACGTGTGTGCGTGTGTGCGTGTGCATGCACGAGAGCCATGGATGCATGGGGCCAGCAGCCAAGGGAGGGGCGGTCCTGGGGAATGGTTGATTGCAGTGATGCATAACAGGCTTTAGACTGAATCGGCAGGGATAAGGACAGGCAGGGCTGAGAGGACCCCAGAAGTCAGGGAAATGGATGCACAGGTGCACAAGGGTAAGGGTTCGTGTGCTTTGCCCCCCCGCTCTACCCTTAGCTCCTAAACCAATGCCCACAACATAGTCAGTGCCTGGCCGATGGGACCATGGAGTCGTCTTTATAGGAGAGGAAAGAGCAAAGTGCAAGGCAGAATGCCTCCCCACTGGTGTTCACCCTGGTCAGCTAAGGGCAAGAGTTTCTCAAGTGGGGCTAATAGCACACACCTCGGCTCCTGAAAGCTGCTGCTTTACCATCTGCGAGGCCCCTTCCTCCACCGCTATGGAGGTTCCAACCTGCCACCAACCTTTGCAATTAGGGGCTGGCCCCCTGCTAATGGGGTGCACTCCACCAAGGCCAGTGGGAGTTCAGTAGGGCTAGATCTGGAATGTCAGGCCTGGGAGGGTTGCTCTCCACACCCTCACCCCCAGTGGGGGTGCATCCGGGCCACACCATCTCTGCAGATGGACCCCGGTTCTGCAGCCACAGCCGAGTGTGCAATGCAAGAGGGACCAAAGTCACAAATCCTGACTTGGCCTGTGGCCCCGCCAGAGTCTCTGAGAAGCAACCATGGGGTTGCTTTTCATTTGCGGAGAGAGAGGCAGTGTGGTGTAAGGGGGAGGTCTGAAGTTTGGAGACAGATCTAACTGAACAGAGGTGGTTACTTACTAGCGGTATTGGGAGGAGAATCAGCATGTTGGGCCCTCATCTCCCTCCCTTCTCTATTTTTTTTCTTTTAGATTTTATTTATTTATTTAACAGAGAGAAAGAGAGAGAGAGAACATGCAGGGGCAGAGGGAGAGAGAAAGGCAGGGTCCAGATTGAGCAGGGAGCCCGATACGGGACTCGATCCCAGGACCCTGGGATCGTGACCTTAACCGGAGTCAGATGATTAACTGGCAGAGCCACCCACGCATCCCTCATCGCCCTCTCTTTACCTAGGAGTAATAACACGTGATTCGAGGGCTGTGAAGATTTACAATCATTCTGAATAATGGATGGGTGTTTAATAATGGATAGTTCCCTTCCTTCAGACCTTTTTCCTTTTTAGGTAATTATTAAGACTCTGAAGGCTCTGTGATCACTCCCGGTGATCCGTGATCTGACTCAGGAGAAGGCAGGGGGAAGGTCCTCTTCAGGCTAAATCATGGGTCAGTGAGGACAGCTTCTCAGTCCTCTGTCCCGCCATGCTAAGAATACCACGCAGCACGACACCAGCCTCAGGCCCTTCGAGGACCTGCTCAGAGGAGAAAGCAGAATTACCTCAATTCAAATTCATGTTATTTAATATACTGGGGTCTTGTTTTTCACCATCGGTTGAATGGAGGGGATATTCTGCCCCCACTCTCACAGATGTTTCGAATATGCATTACAGCAAGAGAATATACAACTACCAAATAGTAAGCCATGCTGGGATGGCAGCCCAAATTTAGCTCCCCAGTGGCACGGGGTTAATATTTCCACTGGATGAATTCCCAACTCTTAGCTTGAGGCATTCAGCCCTTTCCACAGTCTTTTATTGGGTGCTTTTATTCTCCATTTCCACAAAGGCTAACGGTGCATGTGTTACAGAGATGGAATCTCTAGATGTTTAAACAAAAGGAGGGAGGCTAGGAGCGGCTAGAGAGACTGCTTGTAGGCACGCATGTGGGCTGCTGGCTGGGCCGGGGCTGCTCCAGCCATCAGGCTCTCATTGAGAAAAGAGAAAGGTCAGCGTGCACACGGGGGAATTGCCCAGCCAGATGGGGGCTCCTCAATGGACCCCGGGATCGTCCAAAGTCTGAGTCCTTTATAAAGATAATTCGTCCAGCCATTCCTTTGGAGAAAATAGCCTGAGGGCACCCCTGGAAAGGTACCCAGGTATAAGTTAGGAATTCTGCCCAGGCACCAAGGTAAAAAATGCATAATTCGCCTACATGCCAGCATCAGCCTCCTCTCTTGGAGAAAACAGACACTTGGTGTTTTGCTTCTGTGTTGCATAGTTGGCTGCAAAGTAGGGACTCAGGAGAGTGCGGTTGAGGAGACAGGCTCCTCTGTGATGGGTGCCAAGGGGACACCCACCCTAGGAGGTGGTGGCAACAGTTCAAGTGACAGATGATGGGGAGACAGGCAGAGAGGGCAGAAGGTGGAAGTAGCCACAGAGAATTCATGCACCTAAGAATCTGAGGAAGAGGAAAGACTTCAAGTTTGAAGCCTACGGGACTGAATGGATAATGATGTCACAGATTTGAGGGACCACGGAAGGCCTGGGGAGGTTAAGATGCTGAGACTGGCTTTGGAGCTGCAGAGTTAGAGGCACTCAGGTGAGCCAAGACTAGACATAGAAACCCGAGGCTCTGCAGAAAGAGCAGCTTTTGTGATGAGCTACAGAAGGAACTCCACCTGGTGACAATATTCTGCTGGGGTCTGTCCCCAAACGTGGCCTGGGAGAGTTTTTCCCTGGGCGTGTCCTCCCAAGTGCTGGCTGCAGCCACCTAGGAAAATGGGTGGTGGATGGCAGAAGCATTCATTCCTGGTTCTCCATATTGTGAGCATGGGATCTACTTCTGCAGCTCTCCTCTGTGTATGTGGTGTCACAGAGAGAAGTCAGGAGTGACTTGGAATGGCCTGCAAATCCTCAGTGACAATCTCAGGGCACCCCAAGCTTTCTTCCAAGGCTCAGTTCCCGAAGCCCACCAGTAACTCAGCTCATAACAGGCCCTTGCAAAAAGCAGCTAATATACAACCAGCCCAGAATCTTCTCTTCTTGATTAATGTTGGTGAAAAGCAGCAGGAAGGAGGGGAGCTCCTGATGTATGGCAAGTGGACTCAGCCACCTTTGATTACAGGTTAATGAAACGCTTAAATTCAACTGAGCCTTGCTAGATGCTGCCACACCCCCCCGGTGGAATTGTGAACTCTCCTTTACACAGTTACTTTCCCATTTATCTGAGAAAATTGAGCCACCATTAAAGAGACTGTGACATCAAGATCATGCCCATCAGTAATGGAAATGGCTAAGATTAGCTCTGATAGGTTTGCTGCTCTGAAACAAATAAAAAGGGCATTAAATGCAAGTTTAGATCTGCTCCACCACCAGGGGTGAAGATACATACTCCGGCCTGGGAAATGGACCCTTTAATTCTCAGATAGGCTCTCTGATGCTTTCTGTGGTATCAGGATGGCTACGATTAAAATTGCATTCCTGATGATGTTCTCTCGGAAAAACTGAACTATTAATTGTTTGTCCTGCTCTTGAACTTGTTAACATGTATTTTGTAAAGATTTTATTTATTTATTTGAGAGAGAGAGAGAGAGCATGAGTAGGGTAGGGGGACAGGAGGAGAGGAAGAAGCAGGCTTCCTGCTGAGCAGGGAGCCAAATGCCGAACTCAATGCCAGGACCCCGGGATCATGACTGAGACGAAGGCAGACACGTAATTGACTGAGCCACCCAGGTGCCCCACTGAACTTGTTAACATATATTAAAAAAAGGACAGGGTGTGTGTATTGGGTATGAGTGCTGGTGTCCACTGGAAGACGGAGGCATTCGAGCCTAAATGCCCCTGCAGTTGTGCACATTGACGGTTCTGCACAGACACAGACTGGTGGCTCCAAGAACCAAGGGCTCCAGGAGCTGCTGGATCTGGACGCACAGATCCGGGCTTTGCCCGTGAACCCAAGACACAACCCCCCTCCCTGCCTTGCCAAAACTTTCTGCAAATCAAAGTGTAAGTCTGGCTGACTTCATGTTTGCAAATGTTAACCATGAGAAGCAAATTATGTTCTCTGCAGTCACAAAATAAAACTTCTTATAATAGATTAGTGACCAGAAAATGCACATCGTTTCTGGTATTTTATTACGCCATATCCTCCCTTACTGGGCAACGCCGTGATCTATGGTTTGTTGCTGCATTTCAACTATTCCTATCTGGGATAAGATAAAATAGGCAAATTTCAAGAGGCCAAGTGCCACTTGTGATAAAAGGAAAGAAGACAAAGGGTTGCCTGGATAGCTCAGTTGGCTGCGCACTTGCCTTAAGCTCAGGTCATGATCCCGCGATGCTGGAATCGAGGCCTGTGTTGGGCTCCCTGCTCAGTGGGGGGGGGTCTGCTTTTCCCTCTATCTCTGCCCCTCCCCTCAGTTGTGCTCTTACTCTCTTTCAAATAAATAAAATCTTTAAAAAAAAAAAGGAAAGACGACACAGACATTTGTGATGTAGTTCCAAATGACTACCACCACCAATAATAATAATAACCCCAGGGTTTGTGTTACTGTAAGAGACCGAGTTTAGTTTGAGAAATATGCCCCCCAAAAAAGCAAAAAAGGGGGCTCTTAATTCCACCCAAGCGTCCTGTGCAAGAGCACAAACACGCATGTCTGTGCACATACACTGACACATCCTGGACACTCACACCCTAGCATTTCATCTACTAGGAATGCAGCTCTACCATGACCTCTGTCATTGGCAGTAGATGGCAACAAACTTGATTTCCCTCTCCTTTAATCATGCTGCCCTCCCAGGCCTTTCTTGACAAAGAAAAGGAGCAGCAGCAGAAGGATGGACACGAGGTATACATACCTGACACAGAAATATAAAACCACCGGTCCGGACTTTTTGGGGAAGTCATGTTCCAATACTCTTCGATCTAGCTGAAGCCAGTTTAAGTGTCCCCTGAGGAGAAGAGAGACAGATGGGTTAGGACTCCGGAGTTTGCATCTGTGATGAAGGCATGTGTGCGGCAGAACATGCTGGATCACAGATCAATGTGGGCCTCCACCTCACTCCTAAGTTCTCAGTATTTGAAGAACCTCAAGGCATTACCGGGGCGGGGGGGTGGGGTGGGGACACTGAATCAGCGGCAGATACCGTGTGACATGAAGGAGGAGGCGAACGGCAATCAGGAAGTGTGGGGTTCACGACCTGCTATCCACTTCCTAGATTGTGCTCAACTTAAAACGGAATCATTCTCTCGTCCTGAATTCCCTTATCACCACCTTCCTGGATGCCTTTTTTCCCCGAAGGACGCAAAACCCACTTTAGAAATGTTAGCAATCTTCACAACATCTTGCTGGAAGCAGACGGGGTGAAAAGTGAATCACAGTTTCTCAAAAATTTAAACTTACATGCATCATGGACCCAGACATTCTACGCCTAGATATTTACCTGAGAGGAATGAAAGCTATGTCTGTGCCAAGACTTTTTTACACACAGATGTGCAAAGACACTTTAACAGCTCAAAACTTGGAACAAGCCAAGTGTTTATCAACGGGGGAATGAGCACGATGTAGTTATAGAGCAGAATACTATGACCCAATAAAGCCAGTAAGCTATTGATACGTACACCCACATGCATGAATCTCAGAGTAATTACTGAGTGAAAGATGCCAGACAAAGAGGACAGTCTGTAGGATTTCATCTATATAAACTGCAGAAGGTGGGGTACCTGGGTGGCTCAGTGGGTTAAGCCTCTGCCTTCGGCTCAGGTCATGCTTGGCAGGGAGCCTGCTTCCCCCTCTCTGCCTGCCTCTCTGCCTACTTGTGATCTCTCTCTGTCAAATAAATAAATAAAATCTTAAAAAAAAAATAAACCGCAGAAGGTGCAAACTGATCTATACTGACAGGGCTCATTGGTGGTTGCCCTGGGGGGGTGGGTGCGAGGGAGGGCTTTCAACAGGGCAAGAGGAAACTTTCGGGAATGTTGGATATGTTCATTATCTTGATGGTAGTGATGGTTTCATGGGTGTAGACACATGTCAAAACTCATCAAACTGTACTCTTTAACGAGTGTTTATTGTATGTTAATTATACCTCATCAAAGCTATTTTAAACAGTGAACCACAGAGACCTTTGATACATAAATGGAGTGGCTTGTGTGTTTCTTCCTTCCCTCTCTTCTTTCCTTTTGTAAATATTAATTAATGGCTTTCTTGGAGAAAGGGTTTGGAGATGCTGCGGTGTACAAAATAGACACCATCCTGATTCCCCTTGAGCTTAAGGTCTTGTAGGGAGACAGACACTCAGCCACTATTCCTGCAATTAATGGCAGGATTACTAATCAGAATGGTATTAGGACCTCACACCTATGGTACAAGGACCATGAGAAATGAGAACACGTAAGGACCTGAGCTGGGGTCTGAGAAGTACTGCCTGGTGTTTGAGATTTGAAGAACAGTAAGAGTTAACTTAGCAAAGAGAGAGGGGCTATGTTCCAAGCAGTGTAGCCAGCATGTGCAAAGGCCCCAAGGTATGCCCTGGCATGTTGATGTTGTGTGAGTAGAAAGGGATAAGGCTGAAGAGGGCAGGGACCAGCTGCTAGGGCCTGGGAGGCCACGAGTGAGAAGAGTGGTCTTTGCAGAGTGAGGCAGAGCCATGGGATAGGTATGAGGAGGAGAGGGTGTCTATCTTTTCTTCTCCTCTTCTGACCCAGTTTTGGTCCAGGAGCTGGAGAACTCAGTCCTATAATCACCTTTGCTCAGGAAGCTCATGTTGAACACACACAACTGATCCATGAAGCCTCCTCAGGTGCCCGATGTTGGGTAACATGTTCATAACATATATGCAACATGTGAAAGGCTGGCACTAGCTCTGTGGACAATGGGAGACAAAAGTTGTCTGACTCGCTGCATTAGAATGTCTGCTCCTCCAAGCACATGCTTGCCTCCAACAAATGCAAGACAGAAAACATGCTAGAGGTTTCCATCTCCACTTGAGGGCTCATTCAAGCTGCACCTTTTACACAAAATCTCTCTTTCAATGAAGCCCACAGCTGTGGCTCTAGAGATGGTATTTGAATCTGCTTCTGAAGAGCGTCCACCTGAGGAACTTCTCTTTTTCCTCCTCCTAAGGATCTACATCTAGAGAAACATTTTTTTTTCTATTAACTTTATCTTTCATGTTTGTTATTCTTCTCTGAATATAGTAAGGATAAAAAATAATGGGAAAAAAGGATTTCTAAATAAAATGACTAGATCACTTTCTTCCAGAAAGGTGGGATAAATTCCCATCCAACTAGAAGATGGGATCTGGAAGCAGAAGACCTCGGTGCCAACTTGGTCTCTGGCTGTACCGGAAATGCTGAGACTGCCCCACAGGGTCATACTGCTTCAGACCTCTGTGCCTGAGCTCATCTCTCTGCCTAGAATGCCCTTCCCTTCCTTCTTCACCGAGTGTAGCCTGGCCCATCCTTCAAGACCTGGCTTTCCTGTGTTTCTTCCAGAAAGCGCTCCTTGACTACCTTCCCACACCACAAACCAGCCTGGGTTGGGTTCCTCTCTGGACCCACCCCAGGCACACCTGCTCCCATACTCCCTCCCCACCATCTGTGGAAGCTCCTCTGTATATGCTTTCTGTCTCCCCAAGTAGACCCTTTACATCTGAAAAACAGAGACCTGATTCATAAGGTAAAATGTGTATGTTTGGTCAAGTGGAAGGTATTAACACAAATGTTAGCCCTAAGTACTGGATAGTAAGTTACAGTCACGCTCCTCTTGTCTCTGAAAATGTCCAAAATCTCCGAGAGCCTTTTCTTCGGGTTCAGAAAATCTTGAGAAAACTCGGAACAGCAATCCATCCAATGACTAAGCAGATTTAAATTTTAATCTAAATTTTAATCTCTTGCCTGACAATAATTTGTGATAAAGGGTCTGTCAGGAAGGACCTTTTTATGATTATCACAAGAGAAATCCACAGTGCACTCCAACGGCCCAACATTACTGACCATACCAACTGCTTGGGATTCAACCTGGCCTTGGCGGGGGCAGGGGGGTGAAGGTGGGCCATGATTCACTTGGTGAAGAACCTCTAGGTGGGGACATTACATATGAAAGGACACAGACATAGGTGTCCCTTGGATGCCACTCTGTTCAGGGTGCTCTGCCCTACTTCATCCATGTGAGCAGAAGACAACAAGAGGAATAGATTACCTCTCTACAGACTTTCATTCCCGTTAAAATTTTTTTAAAGATGGGCACCTGGGTGGTACAATAATTTAACTGTCCGACTCTTGGTTTCAGCTTAGGTCGTGATCTCAGGGTCATGAGTTTGAGCCCTGTGTTGGGCTCTGTGCTCAGCATGGAGTCTGCTTGAGTTTCTCCCTCTCCCTCCACCCCCCAGGAAATCAATCAATCAATCAGTCAACCTTTAAAATAAATAAATAGAAATAAATAAATAAAAATAAAAACATTTTTTAAAGAATGACAGTTTCATAATATATTTATTTAATTGGAAATTCCTTATTGGCGCCATATTATCAGTTTAGCATTTACCAAGCACTGAAATAGTCAGACACTAAGAACACAATCAGGAAGCAGGAGGCCAGAATCACCCCAGACTGAACAGCCAGCGTCCGAGGAAGAATGACTTTCCTTTCTCCACTTCCTCTGCTTGACTCCTGAACCCCCAGCTGAGGGATGTGGGCGATGGCAGGACACACACGCACGCACAGGGTTCTGACAACCACGGACAGGTGGACCCCAGAGTCCTGAGGCCCTTGGGCAGAAGGAAGCGGCCCCCTCCATTTCGCTCCATTTCACGTGCCTGCAAAAATCTCTTCACTGCAAGCTGCTCACGAAGGCAAAGACCAAAGGGACAAGTGACTCATCCAAGGTCTGTTATGATAACTGCCTTATATTTGGGCAAAAGCTAAGAGATGGATTGAAATGTCGACTGGAGGGCACCTGGGTGGCTCAGTGGTTTAGGCCTCTGCCTTCAGCTCAGGTCATGATCTCAGGGTCCTGGGATCGAGGCCCGCGTTGGGCTCTCTGCTCAGCAGGGAGCCTGCTTCCCCTCTCTGTCTCTGTCTCCCCACTTGTGACCTCTATCAAATAAATAAAATCTTTAAAAAAAAAAAAAAAGAAAGAAAGAAATGTTGACTGGAAAGTCCCCTGGAAACTCGAGTACTCTGGGCTTGTTAAAATATTGTCCGCTCCTTGTATGTGGTTCCAAGTCACATTTGTGACAGTTAATGGCACCAAGAGTTCCTCACTGCTTCCTTCCCTGCGTCACACCCCACAGTCCCAGCACCAAGACCCTTCCTCAAATACTTTTTTTTTCCCTTTAAGTTAGGGTGGGATGGGGAATGAATAGATCAAAGGAGCATTTTCTCTATTCAGTGTAACTAAGAGATGTCTGATAGCTCGGTTTTCATTATTCTCATTGATTTTTCATTTGAGATTTCACCTCGGTGCATTTACCAATAACAAAGCAAAAAATAAAAAAAATGCCCCAGCCGACACTCAGAGTATTTGTGTTACTGCTTGACTGATAACTATCTTTAAAGCTGAGCGAGATAACACTCGTTTGCTTTATGGTGGCGATAGGTCAACCTGTTGGGCCAGGAATAAATACGCAATTGCTTCCAGGCAGCAGAAATTGGATGCATTTACTTAACAGATTGCTTTTAGCTTCTACATATAATACAAATAGATTTTTGGTTCGAGCGTTGGCACCTTCAATAGAGATGGCCCTAAGGAGAGCTTTGTTTATGGGGAGCTACCAGAGGGTAGAGGTATCTGATAAGCTGGTCACTGCTTGGACCCCTGAAGGAGAACAATATGCTGTGCCTTGTGCCTTTTAGAGGTTTTTACCGCAGATAGGTTATTATCTATGGAATGAGTTTCCAAAGAAAGCCAAAGCAAGAGCATGAAATGCATATGGATGTCACTGGACGGGGG